TTTATCAAGCTCCTCCTGCTTCTCGGCGACCTCGCCATTGAGAGCTTTTGCCTTGAACTGGCACTCTTCAAGTTCACCCCGTAACTGGACCACTTGAGCCTGGAGATCACTGCATGGGGCCTCGATGCCCCTACTAAGCTCGATCTCCTTCTCATTGCTTCTCAATGTCCCTTCAAGGATGCTACATTTCTCCACGGCCTACATTAGCGCCTCATCTCTCTTGTTCAAGTCCTCCCTCAGGACCCGCACATTGCCGCCTTCACGAAGCCGATATCGGATATCTCGATACTTTCTAAGGCACAATGTATACTTGTCTTTCAGCTTCACGTAAATATCTTTACGTCTCCTCTCCCGCTGAGCGCTATCAATCTCTAGAATAACTATCTACAGAAAAATGGGTGTTAGAACTTACAAAGAAACTAAGGCATAAGGAAAGGAACATACGATAGTCGTACTTACGCTGAGAGCGAGATCGGCAATGTTATTTGATAGAGTACTGTCGTTTATTGTCTCGAGGGTCGTACCCTCAATCTCAGAACAAAGAGGACCAAGGGCAGGGACTACTCTCTCGGTATTTACAAGTAGATTACGATCCATTGGGATCGTAATAGTCCTAGAACCCCCTTCCAACCTCACCTTGAGTTGAGTAAGTCCCTCGTCGATCATTCTCAACTCGTCTAGATCCATATCAGAGTTAGACCCGGTGTCCTCTTCAGAAACAATCTTCCCTCTTCCATCAGCAGACGAGGGGACATCCACTGCAGCCTTGGAAGACGAATCCTCCTCCTGCCTCGGAAGTGTGAGGTCGTCACCCGGCATCCTGCCTTCAATCGTCACCCTCGTGGGATGCACTGATGCATCCACGTTTATCTCCTCCAAATGTGGGGCCTCAGAATCCACCCCAGTTCTCTCTCTAACACGTATTGTGACCGTCTCTCGAAGAACGAAGTCGTCATCTTCTAAGTCGACGGCTATTGCTTTTCTCCTCCCGCATCCATGGCTCTCCTCTTACGAGGAATTAGACCACCATCCTCAGGTTAGATATTGTTGTCCTCATCAATCAATGAAAAGAGTTGAGGAGCGGAAGCAGTAGACGGAACGGAGGTAGGTTCTTGGACTACAGTAGTCGAGGGAGGGGTCGGCACAGAAGGGGCGGTAGTCGCAATGGGGGCAGAACCCGAAGGTGCAGCAGCCTTCCTCCGAAATGATGGCACCAGTGTCCGGTTTCTTCGAGAAGAACCCCTGCCTGGGAAAGAGACAAATGTCAAATGTAGTAAATCGAATCGGCATACAACGAAAAATGAAACGACCACAGCCAAATAGAAAAAGTTACCTGTCGAAGGAAGAGCCGGTCTAAACTTCTTGATGAAGCTCGGCCAATCGCAGATCCCTACGATGTAGGGGAGGATTTGCTCGACCCAGTCAGAAATACGCGTTACTAAAAGGGGAGGTTGATTGTTGGCTACAAGAAAAGGAAAAATCCTCCAACTAATCCCGAGCAAGTAAAAGAACGCAAATAAAAAATGAGCACTTACGTGTGTAATTCCAAGCCTTAAGAAAGCCATCGGCGTTAGCCACCATGTCATCAGTTCTGACATAGAAGAAATTGAGCCAGAACTGGCGACTGGCTTTATCGTCCGTCTTTACCACCAAACATTTATCTCCACGATGGCGAAGATTCAGCATCGTTCCCCTATAGAAGCTAGGGGCGAAGAGATGTACCAAATGCTATAGTGTCAGTTCAACCCCGGCCAACTCGGCAAATTTGGTCAGCATTCTAATAATTTTGTAGACGTATGGCGCAAGATGAACAGGGCAGACGCCGTAGTGATGAATAAATTCCTCCACCAACGGAAGGAGGGAGAAAGAATAACCGATAAGGAAGGGATAAGCGTATAGACCGCAGTATCTGGGGTGATGAACCTATACCACGTCCTCACTAGCCGGGATCATTTCGACATGAATTGGAAGGTCGAACTTGGCCTTAAGTTCCGCCAATTCTTTAGGCGTCATCGTCAATAAGAAAATCCCGGGCGCAACGTCTGGTGATCAGGTGAGGTCAGACCTAACGTCAGGATTGCGGGAGATAATTTCCTCCACAGACGGAAATGCTTCATCATCAACAAAGGCAGAAGCACCCTCCTCATGGGAAGGAAACACAATTGCCAAAGGAGCAACACGGCTCCTTTTACCAGGTGGGTTTGAGGGTAAATTGGACATGATGCAAAGTGATAAAGAAGAATAACAGTCGGGAAAGAATGGGGATGATGTAGGGCAACAAAACGAGGAAAGGAAGTTCAGAGAAGAAAGTTGGTACTATGAAAAGTTAGAGGAAACAAACTTCAAATTCAAGTTCAAGAACCTCTATTTATAGAGATCGTGGCACTAAACCCGAAAATGGCTTGTCATAATTGGCACCGGAATCAAAACGGCAGATCCAATCAAGGGTCACGTACAAATCGAAACAACATATCGGGAATTTGTATCATAATGACGCATGATGTCATGATGTCACTCTAACCCTTGGACAAGATAACTCCAACGAATCGCCGAGGAAACCTGAGGTATTTGAAATATGCGACCCACAGAGTGCCATGTCGCCTGTTCGACACGACGTTTAGAACTCTCGCAGTTTACTCGATAAGTTCGATCGAAAATGACAGTATCCGCTCATTAAGCTCACCTGCGAGGATGAACTCAATAAGCGGTGGGACTAACTGTATGGGCCAAAAATTATCTTCGATATGATCAAACCATGTTAACATTAAGGAGGCATTCACAGACTGCCACGTGTCGTCAATATGACTTCAACAAAGACCCGCCCAAGGTCGAAGTGGTCCCTGAAGCAATGGAGGATGCGTCGAAGAGTCAGCGAAGATCAAGGTTGAGAAGCCGTTGTAGATCAAGGTCGAGGTCGAGCATCTTAGACAAAGTTATAACGGCTAGTTTTAGGATATGGCATAAAAGAAAATATTCTAGTGGATATTCTCTGTACCTGTATTATTAGGATTTTTAGGAATATGTTCCCTATAAATAGAAAGAGACACAATGATAGGGGGAGATTCACTTATAAGAAAACACATTGACTTTATTGAGAGAATCTGGTCATATCACAAGCATACGAAAACAACATTTTTACTAAGATTCTTGTCTAACTTTTCGACCTGATCTAAGAACAACCTAAGTGTATAAAGGCTCACCAATCATTCATCATTGTCAGCAAGAATATCCACAGATCTCACCCATTTTCAGGTGACTCACACCTTTTTATTTACTTAAATATTATTCATTGCTACTTATTATAATTTAATGCTATCTTCCACCTTTTTGGATCATTGAATATTGCTATTATTGCTCACATTTATTGCCATTCGATCAAATATACATACTATCTCTCATAAAATCGATAACCTTGTTTCCTGGATATTAATATTAGCTAAGATTGACTCTATTTTATTTAAATCTAATTGGTTGAACCCTTATCTAAATTTTTGGGTCAAACAAGTTCAAACTCGAGTCTTTCGGTTAAGCTTGGATGGGCCCATCCATCTCGCCATGGCCTTGGTGGTTGAACATCACTTTTATTTTAACCAAAAATAGTAATATTCTTGGCTTTATAGAACTTATGCCCAGGTAAAAATGACTTTAAATTGCTTTGGGATTTGACGATAACCATAGGTAAACCACCTAGTTATACTAATAAAATCAGTTGCTAATTATAGACTTAACTTAAGTAATGCAAAATCTTACATACAAAAGGATTACATGATTTAATCATTGTGGTAGAAATGAGCAAAGTGGGAAAGCTGTTACCTATTAGTACCAGATATTGCTGAGAATGAAGCTGAATATGTACAGTGAGTAGAGCCAGATATGGAAAAAATTAGACCACAACAAGCCGATTATCCTTATGTTACATTAATTACCGTTTCTGCACTTAACATTTATAATATGAACGTAAATTTTTCTGTTTTGGATATAGTTTTTTGTTCGGATACGTGCAAATGTGCAACGTAGGAAAACAGAGACAAGTCTTAATCACATTTTATTTGGTGAATTGAAAGAAATGGACCGCGAAACTTTAGTAGCTCAACGTAGTAATTTTTTCTAAAGTTAAGTTTTGACCAAGCTTTTAGAACGAGAAAAAAAAAAGTATTTTGAGTAGAAGTAGAAACAGTTTTTAAGATGCAGAAAAAGTAACATCTTTTAAAAAGTACTCTTTCGAAAAATACTTTTAAGAAAAATATATTTAAAAGCACTTTTTAAACCTTGGTAAAATACTAATTATTGTTCAAAAGTATTTTTCAAATTAATTAATCAAACATAAATTACTTCTCAAAAAAAATACTTCTAAAAAAAGTAGTTTTGAAAAAAATATTTTTCAAACTAAGATTTTTTAAGCTTGGCCAAAAAGCTAGTCTCCTTGAAGCACTTTTGAAACTCTTTTTTTTGAATATTTTTCCACCTAAACACCAGCTTAATACTCCTTAATTGGGCAGAAGAAACAGTGGCTCATTAAATTTGATCTAGGGCAAAACGAGCTAAGTGCACCGGTAGCCACTTTTAAACATGATGTTTTAAATATATCCATAATTTACAGTATATTTAAAGATTAGGCAAATCACCCAAATTCAGGATTAAGTATTCTGAATTTGAAATTCAAGATTTAGTGTCCTGAATTTTTAAGCTTCTAATTTGAAATTCAGGATTAAGTGTCATGAATTTTTTAACTGCTGATTTAAAATTCAGGACATAAGATTCGAACTTCTTACCACAATTTTCGAACTTTATGACATATGCCCAGAAATTTGAATTTTGAGGTTTAAACTTCAGTACAAGCGAATTGGCTAATTTTTAAATACACTATAAATTATACAAATATATTTTTAACAGCAGGCTGAAAAGTGGCTATCTGGTGTCATTTACACGGGCAAAACGCAGATCAATGGAAGTCCAAATCCAAAACGGAGCCCCACTAAAACCTTACTTATATATAGGCAGTCGGTTAGGAGTTCCCCCGAAATTCAATTCAACGCATTGGAAAATTGAAGACCTCAAGAATCTGATACCCAATTACCCCCTTTTGGCATCAATCAACTTCCATTTTTGAAGATCCATTTGACAGTAATAAGAATTCAGATTTAAGGGTTTTAAAGCTTTAAAGCTACAAATACAGAGAGAATTAAGAAGAAATGACACAGCCGAGTAAAGAGCCATGTAAGAAACAGGCTTGCGATATTCAAGCTTGCCTTTCCAAGAATAATTTTCTTTCTCAAAGGTGTGTTTCCTCTTTATCCTCTCTCTCTTTTTTTCCCTCTTATGTAATACGTAATTTATTCTTACTTTTTGCTGTCTTATTGTGGCTATAATAATTGGTGCTTATTTTGGTCCTCTGATGGAGCTTATTTTTTATGGTTCTTGAAATACAAGTTGGTGTGTCCCAGGGATATGGTTGTACCAATATGCATAAATCTATGAAACCCTGCAATGGCGGTGATATGAAATTGATGTTTTCTTGACAACAATAAATAAAATCTCAAATGTTTATTTCGGCTTTGTAAAAAAGTATATAAATATTACTGGGGTCTTTTTAGTTTTATTTTAGAGATATGTATGCTAGTAGAAGATGTAGAGAAGGACCCCTAATTGTCTTAGACTAAGTTATTGAGGGTTCAAATGAAACAAGAATGGAGCAAAATGGATGTTGAGGATTTATATAGGGGATATTGATGTGTAGTAGTTGTTGTATTGGGTGTTGACGAAGCCGAGAGAGAAAGTTTAAATGTTTGGTGCACTAGTAAAGCAAATTTATTGAGAGGTAAAGTCTCATTACTTGCTTCTTCTAGAGTAATTGCTTTTCAGGTAGTTTTGTGTTTGATCATGTGAAAGTGTAGCCTGTTTGTTTGCATACTGTAGCTGAACTGCCACTTCTTTTTTACAAGAAAGCGAAATTCAAAGTCCCTTCTTTCCGCTGTATTGTTCCCCTACGTACTGATTTAGCTAATAGACGATAATCCTTAGAGATGCATGTCTCCCAAAATAAGCAGACGGTAAACTCACCTGTTCGGCATTAAGGCTGTCTAGTTATTTGCACTTGATCAATTTTCAGTAAAATAGTGATCTTATATTTTTCCCAAGAGATCATTGGAGCTATCATCAATCATGATATGCAATCCTTCACGTACATTCTGAAATCGAGATATTCCTTTGAGTCATTTCATGAACTGAATTAAGAGACATTATAGAAATAATGAGGCTATCAGTTCCTAGACATAATTGAAAAATCTGACAATGGATGTCATTTCGTGTACTCATTGCTTCATTGTCCAAGGCTTCTTATATGGCAGGTACTATAACAAAATTTCTAACCTTACTCTACTACATCTGGACACTTACATTACGTCTTGTATTTGTTGGTACTCTTTTTAGTTGGTTTAGAAATTTGTATGATAGTAGAAAATGTAGAGAACTTCTATTATATATATGTGTGTGTGTATATATATATGGGTGGTGGGCAGAGAAAAAAGCCATTCATTTTAACCTTTTGGAACTGGATACAAAGAGTTGTTTAAAGACCTTTTCAAAAACCACTTTGGAGAAGGCGGGTATCACGCTCAATAGAACCAGACTTTGCTATGTCAATAGTCAATAGGAGAGAGCAAGAAAGAGAATAGCAAGAGGAGGCCTTTTTCTTTATATTTATATATTTCGGAAATCGTATCATCATGCACTTTAGGCCCTTTTGAAAGCCATGATGTGGGGTCACACGAGTAGCGAAAGACTGAGCTTGCTCATGTTCTCATGCTTCACACAAACCCAGGCTAGGAAGCTTGAAAGCTATATCATACCATATGGATTTAGAAAGTTTGATTAAAAAAAAACAATAAAAAAGGACATATATAGAAAAGAACCTCCGGTGTCCTAGTTGAGAAGACAAATTTTTGAGTATTTGAAACGATCCAAATAGAGCAGAATAGATATTGAGGATCCATATAGTTGACCCCAAATAGATTAGAATTGAAACAGCAGTGGTTGTAATAGTTGTTCGTGTACTATACATCTGGACATGCTGCCTCTCTAATGCAATACTTCTATGAGTTCCATCTTAGGCATATCTCATCCCTTTGTACTTCTTTAAACAATGTTTAAGTGCATGCTTATTTAGTCAGCTACAGTTCTCCATGATGGGTTGGGGAGCTACTAAGTTAATCGGATTACAGAATTATTGTGGAATATTTGTTCTAACCCTTGTCTTTTTGCATGTGCTAATAGGTGTGTAAAGGTGATCGAAGCACTAAAGTACTGTTGTGAGCAATGTGAATACAAATCAACACATTGTGCTTCTGTCTCTGGGCTTCTAAAGCAAATACAGAAAAAATAGAGTTCAATGGCTACAGTTGGCAGAAAACCACAGATAAAACTATATCCTAGTTGTTCTCCGTAGCAGAGGAGCCAAAGTGAGTTGCTTTTCAGAAGATCTGAGAACCAAACATCTTGGTACTGTTTGGACGTTTTTACTGCAATCAAGAAAGCTGGGTCGCTGCATAAAGTAATCGTATCATATTTTAATTTTGTTCATGGATGTGTAAGTCCATTAGAAATCCGATTTTAGATGTTGAGATTGACATATGGATGTATTTCAGTAGTATGTCATAGGGAACATAGCTATTGAACCTCACAAGTAAATTGTGGTGATGATGGTCGTGGCATACTAAACCTGTAGATAGACTGCATTACCTCATTTGACCAGCTTGTATAGACAATGGAGCAAGCTGTTACTGTTGCCGCACTACCAGTACTTCTAAAATTCTTTTCTGAAGTGTATTCATTTGCTAGTTCGTCACTTAATTTCTGTAGGTGGATATTTTAGCCACAAATATATACCATTCTTATTAAAAAGGTGGAATATCTTGGGCAAGTTTGTTTATTAGTAGCAGATTTGATCCCATTTGTATTAACTGTTTTTTCTTTTTTTGTATGATCCCATACGTCCAGTTTTTAACTTATTTTGGACCTGTCCAATTTAAAGCAATCCCCTATTCGACAAGGACCGTTCTAAAGGGTCGGCATCGTCGTGCTAAAATCGAGCTGCTTGCATTATTGTGATTTCTTAGTCTTGAATGATGAAACACACTCATCGTTTCCTGGAAACAATTGCGATTCTATACTAGCACTCTGCTCGGACTACATTATAATCAAGTAAAGCACAATTGCAAATGCATAGTTGGTGCTGTTTTCATGGCTTAAAGATGGGTAGAAAAGCTCTTCCTTTTTACTCACTACATATAACAAAAACAGTCCAATAGAATACAATTGGTGTGTGGTCTCTTCTTGGGAGATGAAGAACAAATGAGGGAATTGTGCAGCTGAATTTGGGTGGTTAGAATTGTTTCCTGGACCAGGGTGAAAAGAAAGAGAGGAAAAGGAAAAAAGAGGAAAACAAATAGTATCACGTTATGATCTCAAAGATTCTTGCCGCTTCAAAGGAATACCTTCTTGTCCAAAACCATCCTCATCATCGGCGTGCTTGGGGAGCCGCACAGGTAGCGTTGGGGGACCTGTATTAGATTTGATAATTAAAAGCCTCTTTGGAAACCTTTGAGAAAGTAAAACCATAAGAAAAACTGCATAGCTTACCATCAACCATGTCTTTGGTTTTGTGAAGAAGAAAAGTCCCGGAAAGAATAGTCACAAACCCGCACATTTCTGTTACAATTTGTGTTGGATTCTGCCTATCCCAGTCCTGTTCACTCAAGCAATGAGAAGAATATCCGAGAATTAAATAAGGATTATAAATAAAACATCACAAAACCACATCGCTCAAGCACTAGAAAAACGCAGTGCCTCCTACATTCAACTTACAAGATCTCAGAAAATCTAATAAATGGTTTTCCGATTGGATATGTTCAACTCAATGCTTATTCTTAGAACTCAAGGATACAGTGATACGAGCCTATAGAACAGATTCTGTTCAAGGTCGTGGTCAACTCAATGCTTATCCAGCTCTCTAATTTCACGAACAGATAGAAAGGAAAACAAACATAACCATATTTGATGACCCCCAATTGGAAGAAAGCATAGGATACATATCGTACATCAAAATACAGAGATTGGCCGGAACAGGAAATTTAATTCTAATGAAACAACCGGGCAAGAGGGAGAAAATTGATATATCACTAATATATTCCAATGTGATATATAAGTTATTGAGACGAGTGGAGAAATTACCTTGAACATGATGACACTGGCCAAAATAGTTAAAGAAGTGAACATGACATAGTATATCGGGGACACAACAGCTGTATTGAATGTGTCAAGGGCCTGCATTGACGATTCACCCAAAAAGGAGTGAGGGAAGATCACAATGACAAAAGGGTAAATATCATTTGCATGTGAACATTCAAAAGCTTCAATTTTGCCTTAATTTTTTGGGAGAAATGTTGCTTCATGTGTAGAAGCATAGCTGAATCTGATCCAAATGTAATAGCTGATAGACCAAACCATCTAAAGTAAAGCCTTACAAAGCTATGTGTTTTCAATTAATGTTGAATGTAAGCATAAATTTTTTACTGATCAGTTAAATGTAAGCATAAAATAAACAGATTTGATTTTTTCAGAGTTGATTATCCCTCTCGAAAGCAAATATTTGAAGTGGGCTATAATATATTGGTTTTTAGTATAACTCGTGCATCCGGGTACAAGCCCATGCTTTCTAAGATTCCATGTACTGTATATTTGTGTCTTTCCAACTTATTTCTTATTACACATAACATGTGACAGTAATTGACTTGCTCATTTTCCTTTGATATTTTGCCTTTAGCACAACAACAACAACAACAAACCCAGTGGAGTCCCAAAAGTGGGTCTGAGGAGGATAGTGTATACGCAGACCTTTACCCTACCCTGGGGAGGCAGAGACGTTGTTTCCGATAGACCCTCGGTTCAAGAAGATGCCTTTATCCCAAGCTCTATGATAAAAGTAAGATCTCAATCCAAAGTAAGCATGATCCTAACCAATATTATCCGCATTCTTAGATCACAATACATTCCCTAGGAAGATAAACGTACACCTAAACTTTGAGCTAATACTACAAAAAACAAACAGTTATAAAGTGCAGGGTCGACTAAGAAAACAATCATAAAGTACAATGTTGAATGAGTCGTGATATCATAAAGAGCTGTGAAATGATTTGTTACTACAGCAAAGAGGGGATATTCTCCTCAATGATGAAGAAGCAGATTAGCACTCTTATTGCTTATATTCATTTCAGCAATGAACCAATAGTGTTTGACCCCACCCTCTTCACCCACATGTAACTATGCTCCAAGAGCAAGTACAGACTACAGCATGCAGAAGTACTGGAAGAACTTTGCAAAAAAAAACAAGGAGATAAAAAGAATGAACAATTCTGACCTTATTTAAGTAATTCATTTGGGTGAGAATACAAACAATGACAATCATAGTAAATGCCCAAGTTTGTGGGTATATTAACTGATTCATTCCTGATAATGTCAACTTCAAAGCAATGCCAATAGCTTTGACACTCATAACCTGTTATACCACAGCTGAAATTTCGATTAGAAAAATACATGTGTACAACAACAAAAGCAACATCATTCAGATAAGACAAAATCAGATAGTTTTAGTCACATACCGATAAAGAACCTACTAGCGAGCAAACTCCAATATAGAACATAATGTGTGTCTGCCCATATTGCGGAAGATAGTGAAATATTAGAACTAGGGAAGTCGTTACCACCAAAGCAGCATAGAAGAGAAATGCTGCAGGACAGTCGAAAAGTAAGCTCTAACAGATTAGTTTAGAGACAAAACAAGCAACTAACATCATAAACCATATGAAGCAGGAAACTACCTGGCTCAGTAGCAAGATCCCACACTTCTGTCACAGATTCAATCTCACGTTCTTGTGGAGCATGCAACACAATTGTGATGGAACCCACAACACATAAAGCACAACCTAAAATTCCAAATGTATGTAGCTTCTCTCGCAAAATAATGCGTGCAAGGACGGCACTGGGATTTACAGCCTCATCAATACTCAAAACCATAAAAGTCAAATTCGAACTAGCTGTTAAAATTACGCAATACCTTATAATAATACTCAGAGCACCAAGAGGAGTCACCAGAATGGCAGGAGCAAATGCATAAGCTGCAAAATTAGCAACCTCTCCAACAATCACTGTTTGGAATAGCAGCTAAATGTTAGAAGTCTATCTCCAATAGGATTAGACACAGTCCATATAAATGAAGAGAGAAATAAACAATTAAAATTATTAAAAGAGGAGCATTTGCCAGCCAGACAGGATAAATGTGCAACATAATTCACAGGTCGACACTATATCTTAAACGATAAAGCATAAAGAACACCGGGAAACAAGGTGCAATAAACTCCTGATGAAAACCTAACTTGCTAGTATAGTTCTCCTTATGTTTATTTGGGAAGAATGGACATAATCATGCTTTTTAACCTGAGTCCAAAATCTCTCAGTTTAGTTAGAAAGCCTTTTAACTAACCTTAGATCAGTTAGCAATTAACCAAGTAGAGGGAAGGGCACTGCACCTTGCAATTAGATAATGTACACATCATGAGCTTATAAACAGCACTTCTTATAAATCTGTATTTAGTTTTGGCCGATGATCAAGTAAAGAGCAGCCACAGAGCTTTCCCATAAAGGACTGTTGACTAAAAGCAACTTCATTAATTAAGGCCATGTCTAAAACAGTCATGACTTGACTGTTCCATATTCCTTCAAATATCAGCGAGAGAGGGGTAACCAACAGTCCAACACCAAGGACCACTGGATTTTGGTCAACTGAACCCAAAAGAACCAAACCAGAGAATGACTTTTAATTGTAACAAAATATGCAAGTTAAAGGAAAGCAGCCCCAAGCTTGTTGCAAAAGGGGGCTTGTTCTACTCTCTCTAATATTAACAAAAAAAGGCGGGTTAGAAGACTCTTTAATTATGTATCACATGCAATAATAGTAGTCCAACTCACTTGTTATCATGCCCACCCACCAAAGTGGCTCAAATAGATACGAGTATCCTCCAACTCCTGTAAAAAGTATCAATGTCAAGTCACAGAAATTGTGCATCTGAAAGTGAATATAAAAACATCATGAATTGTAAACCATACCGATGATGCAAAAGCATTAAGCATATAATCACATCTCACTTATATGATTCCGCATAAGCAGTTAATCTACCCAACCCTCCATTAATAAAACATATAAATTTGGAAAAGTTGTTCTGACTGCCAAATGAAAGAATGAACATCACAAGTAAAAACTTTTAAAGCACAAATTACAGACAATTTAGCATTAGGCGTCTTGCCACTAATTATGACTCAAAGCAGCAAATAGTATACAATCATTCAAACAAATGTTTTAGGTAAAGAACTGGCACCAAGAAACTTTTTGTAGTAAAAGCAAACACATACAAACAGTATCAGGCTATCAGCATTGTTTTATAGATGGTAATCCACATCAGGCTAGACTGCATTCATGAATCCAAAAAACACCGCTTTAAGTCCGATTGTCACTTGAAACAACGAGATTTATACTACTGTTTCATCTTTAATGGACAACTAAGACCCAAACAGCGTAATAAAGAAAAATACAATGCAGTCATGGCCAATGTAGCAAAGACTCTATTATTCGAAGAGGTTAACACCATTCCCAGAATAGGAATAATGCTTGGCAAATATGTTTCTTGCTAGAACTAAAGGAAGAATTAGGTATTCGTGTACAACTCTGAAGGGCGTCGAAAAGAACAGTATGTATACCGCAAAACATCCTAACGGTAGGTCCTGTCAATCAGTCAAGCAATAGCAGTTTTTTCTCTTTCACTATACTTTCTAGCATAGGAAACATCTAAAGCTTAA